TCGGTTTAGAGGGAGTTAAACTTTTCACAGTTTTCTGGATTGTTTGCAGTTCAGTCCTGTGCAGCATAATGAAAGTTTTCTAGCCATCTGTTGTTAAGCTGGCGGTGAGCAAGGCCAGTATATCCAAACAAAGTTCTGGCCTGCTGTAAACTGAACCTGTCAGTTTAGCATAGCTTTGCTGACCCCTCCAAGGAACAGGGCAGCCCTTGGTACCAGGCACTCACTGCAGAGAGCTTTCAAAGGGGAACTATTTGGGGGGTGGGGAGTGGGGGCCTGTTTACTTTTCCCTCAGTGTTCCTCTCACTGGATTGGACCAGTTTATACTTAATCTTTATGTGGATAAAGGGATATTCGTCCCCCACCTCCGTTTTCAGAGCGGGAGGCATTGCTTCTTAATAGGGGACTGTAACTTTTAGGACAAGGTGTGAGTGTCCATAAAACAGTGTGAGGTGGCTGTGATTCGCAAGGATGTTCTGCGCGGTTATTTTTGTTTCATTATTTTGTCTTTCAGTGTTTGGGAACAAATAGTCCCAGGCAATGCAAGGTCCTGTATTTATTATTACCTTATACAACTAAAAGTGTTTCAGAGCTTTCAAGGGGCTTTCTTGCCCCTTTCCTTCTGCACTTTGCGTTTTACCAGCAGAAGTTAATACGTGGCATAATTTAGCAGATTTGACAGTGTTCCCAGCTGTGTGGGGTGTTACCTGCTTCTCTGTTCTCATTTGCAAGGTGTATCTATTGCTTTTAATTGCCCAGCTTAACCATAAAATAATTTCATTGTTTCATGGTGTTTTTTTCTTTCCATAGTGAATGTCTAATTCCTGCTTCCCCCTTAGCAGTGTTTCCTTGACTCTGTATGAAATATTCCTATACGTTACCTGTGTGTTTACACACACCGCCCCCCCCCCAACATTTACCTAAGCCTCCCCCTAACCCTTGTCGGTTTCCTCTTGCTAATGACACCTTGTAGGTGCTGTTGTATTTTTATCTTGGTCTTGCTGTAGTATATTTCCTGTCCAGCATTGGTTACATTTGTGCTGTGTTAAGAGAGGGCTCTGGGGAGCCATTGTCAAACCTCTGTATCCATCTCAATTCATTAAAATATCCAGGGAGAATGGCCACTGTCATTGAATAACTATGTCTACCACTCCCCTGGCTGCCTTAGCCCCCGAGAAGAGAAGTGGGCCACAGTCCCACACAGTAACAAAGGGAGGAGGCACCAGAAGGATGCGTGTTTGTCTTGTGCACCAACGTGAGAGGGTTTGGGTTCAACTTTTACTGCAAACAAGGAATCTACAAGGGTCACGAATTCTATAAATGGCAGGGAAGGGGAACAGAAGAAGCAGAGGAACAAACCAGGAGATGCAGGGCTTCCCCTTTAAGGGACAGGGAGTGCCGTGCTGCAATGGTGAAAATATTCAATTTAAAATTTAAATGAGTGCACTTACTTGGAAATACCATACAGTCATAATCTGTTTGTAAGGTGACTGACACATAAAGTGCTTTTTTGTTTTAAGGTAAAAAAATGTATTCGGGGTAGAGTTTCGGGTGTAAATGTCAGGTGCAACGTAACGTGTACTCACTGCAAGAGTCAAGCAAATAACCTTGGCATTTAGGACACTGCCTTTTAGAACATGAAATTGTATTTTGTTGTGCGTCTTTTTTTTTT